TGCTTGTCTATCATATCCACTAGGAGGCAGTATTCTACCAGCCTCGTGCTTGTCTATCATATCCACTAGGAGGCAGTATCCTACCAGCCTCCTAATAGCCTTGCTCATTTGTGTCATAAAGTAACCTTTCTTCAAAATGTACTGCTCAGTACTTCATGGTTTTTCGTAATTGTTTTACTGAATTGAACTGAAGTGTCTGTGTAACAAAGAAGTAATGAAAAGTTTTGCATTAATTTCTTACCTCTAATTCTGCCTGACGTTGTCTCATTTGATGTTCTTCATACTCTCTTTTATGTTCTTCAAGCTCTTTTTTTTGGATGTTAAGTCGTTCCAAGAGAGCAAACTGCTTCTCATGCTCCTGAAACATCAACATAATTTATTAATAATCAAACTCACAATAAAAAAATAATTTTGAAGAATATGAGGATGATAATGTTGATGACACAGAGCTCTGTGGTGCTGATGAATGATGGTGATGATGACATGATGCCCTGTGATGATGATGATGATGTTGATGACATGATGCCTGGGTGGTGATGGTGAATGATAATGATGACATGATGCCCAGGGGTGGTGATGAATAATGGTGATGGCGATAACATGATGTCCTATGGTGATAAGGAATGTGATGATAACATGATGTCCTATGGTGATAAGGAATGTGATGATGACATGATGTCCTGTAGTGATGATGATATCATGATACACTGTGGTGATGAATGATGGTGATAATGATATCATGATGCACTGTGGTGATGAATGATGGTGATGATTATGACGATGATGATAACATGATGCCCTGGGGTGGTGACGAATAATGGTGATGAAGATAACATGATGCCTCGTAATGATAAAGATGACATGATGCACTGTGATGATGGATGATGACATGTTCTGTAGTGATGATGACAACATGATGCCCTATGGTGATAAGGAATGTGATGATGACATGTCTTTTAGTGATGATGATATCATGATGCACTGTGGTGATGAATGATGGTGATAATGATGACATGATGCCCTAAGGTGATGAATGATAATGCTGATGATGAATGATGCACTGTGATGAATGATGATGAAGATGATGACATGATGCACTGTGACAAGGATAAATTACCATGAGTAGTTCTTGTTGTTTTTTCTGTTCTTTCAAGATTGCATCAATTTGTTCAGGAGTCATTGCTATATCCTGTGCAATATTAAAACAAAAATAAATATATTTAGCAATAAATAAGCCATTACTACATAACATGCTAGTAAATTACTTGTTTTTACCTTGTCATTGTAGTCTGCAGGTGGTGGAGGAATAAACTGTTCACTGCCAAATGATAAACCTCTAGACTTTCTCCTAGTGGGTGGGGGAATTTTGTTACTGTCAGAACGAGGTCTTTCTGGCTTTACTTTTGCTTCTATGACCATATTTTGTGGATGGGGTCTTTCTTGTGGAATGGCTACCATCACAGGTTTCTTGCCAGAATATGAATTTCGTTTTACCCCTTCGGTTTCTATATTGACACCTTCTAATTCCGCAGCTCGTGCTTCTGCTACAATGTTTCTGAGTTTACCTTCCTCTGTGGGGTCTTTTGGTGTGGTTACATCTACCATTTCTTTACGACGTTGCATAATGAACTAAACAAACGCAAAAAGCTTATTGTTATAGTTAGGTTTACAACAATGTCTGACAATAAGGAATACAGGGTCGCTACCTCACCTGAAGTTCGTTTCCTTTTGACGTTGTCTAAAAAAAAAAAAAAAAGCAAAATAACAAATGGTAAATTTAAAAAGTCATTCCTCAAAAAGTGAGAAGTGTATAGCCCCCTAGCCTCCTACATCCCTACTACTAAGGTGCAGAATCCTTCTTCATCAACCCATTGGGTTGTATTCCTGCACTCTACAAAAAAGACTTTTCGATGTGGAAATAAAAACCTTTTGAACTTCTAAAAGTGTAAAGATTGCATCAGACTCACCTTCCACTGTGAGCACAGGACAGCAAACTGACTATAGACAYGAGCACCTTCTGCTCCTCCACATGTTCTCTTTAACTCATCTTTACTCATCTTTTCCAGATCCTTAGCGGACTTCCAAGCTAATGCCTGGACACAACTGAAGAAACACAAACATGTACACACATGAAATGAGTTAGATTTACATAAAAACAAAATCCAATTTGCACTAGTTCCACCCTGAGTAACACATACTAGTAAGATAGTATTGCCTTGGAAACAGTGTTCTCAGAAACAGTAGATCGATGTATTACTTACGCTTGACTAAAGTTTTTGCTCTTCAGCCAATCTCGTACTTCATGTGTCCCAGAATCAGGATTAAGCACAACAGGCTCTATTTGTTCTGGAAAAAAAAAAAACCAAGACTATTTTACCAACATTACCAATTATTGCTGTCACAGACAGTGAAACAAGTTTATAAAAAAAATTTTACTTCTCAATGATAATAATAGTACGGCATGCTTTAATAAAACATTGTCAATCACATTTTAATTGTCTAAAATGATAAACTGTGAAAGAAAGGTTATGGAACTTTACCTGTTTTATGAACTACATGGGGTGTAAGAGCACCATGAGTCATCCTGCGCTTTAACTCATCCGTTAACATGTCTGCTGAACTCACTAGATAAAAAAGACAAGACAATGAAGCGCAGTAGTCACTGATAACACAAAACATGATGAATATTATCAAATCTTACTTCTTTTCTCTTTTTCTTCTTCCTTCTTCTTTTGTATAGCTTCTTTGTTTACCTTTTTCAGATTACCTCCATTGAGGATGGCTTTTTGGAAATCGCTAGGTGGCTGCTCACTATTTTCTGATGGCAGAAGTATTGATATTGAGTATAATATATTAGTAAAAATATCATAAGATAATTTATGGCCTCAGTTAATAATAACATATTATATTCTAATCTAGTTCTTCATTATTTCAAACTAAATCAAATCAAAATCCTGAAGGGAGTCCCAGTGTTTACAAATAATTTTACCTGTTCTGTTGACAGTCACTTTGGTTGCTGTCACAGTAGCAGTTGAGGGGGGAGGGGTTGGTGGAGGAGGGCTCATAGGAGGGGGTGGGGGAGGTTTTGGTCCAATATCCTCTTCGTTCTTGTTGACGCTGACATGTCTGAGTTCCACAAATGGTACTTTTCTGTTCTCTAGGTTGACTGAACTAGTCTCTGTTGTCTCAGCTTTCTTAATCTATAATAATAATATAAATGTGTTAATTATCAGTAGATTCTGCTACTACTATTAACTTGTTTGTACTTACCTGTATGTCTGTAACAGACATGCTTGGTATTGGTGGAGGGGCAGTAGAAGGAGGACTTGGCAGATACGATGCTACAACAATAAATAAACAGTCACCGTCATACATTGCTTAAGATACAAAGTTTTAATTTGTAAATGTATGGAGCAAAGTTTAGTTTTGAGTGTATACAGGGGCGGCGGAAGCTGAAAAATTTGGGGGGGGCACTCCAATATTTCACGGTACCTTGAAATGACCCCCCCTCCCTGTTTTGCTTGATTACAAACGTGTATGTGTGATATTTCAATCAGTAACATTTTGCGCGCATTAAACCACTTGCAATTCTGCTGAGAGACACAAAAATGATGCAAGTCGTCACTAGATATATCGTATATTTTTTAGATACAGAAAATTATGCAATATCAAAATAATAAATAATGGTAATCATAACCAAATCTCATGCGTTTTTTTTTGTGTGTGAGGCATTATATTCTGGGGGGGCCAGGCCCCCCAAAAAAATCTAGTGGGGGGGCCAGTGCCCCCCCGGCCCCCCCGCTTCTGCCGCCCCTGGTATAATGTCACAGACTCCAATAAAAATTTGCAAAAATATAATACTTCCCATCCTAATATCAGAAAAAAATCTAACCAGTGATTATTAGACCTGTAAGGGTTATTCCAATAAAGATTCATCTGAATTTAAATTCAGATGATTTTCATGCTAGTCCCCCTTTGAAACTGTACATACTGTAGGATGTTGTTTGTTGCTAGGATGTTGGCAGGATATCTGTAGTTTAGCTGTGTCCTGTACTAATTTGGCAGACAGATTCTTTACTATTACCTAGAGTGCCTTAAGTACATGTATGTAGGTGCTCAGGCTTCACTAAAACCTATAAAGTGCCTGTGTTATGCATGATATGAGGATATTGTACCCCTGATAGATATGACTGACTTACCTTGAGTAGTCACTGAAGAAGTGGCAGTGTTTCCCTGGTTTTCAACCCCTTTTGATTCTATTATTGTATTAGGAATGAAACCAATCTCCCCATCTGAATTCCTCACACACCACCATTTCCGACTGTCATCCAGTATCTACAATAATTTAAAAACAATAATTTAATAAAAAATAGCAAAAATCCAGAAAGCTTCCAAAAAGTTATATGTACAATATGAGCACCGTGTTATATCAGAGCCAGAGGTTAGCGACTGTAAATCATATAACAATTCAATGTTTGGGTACATCATTAAATTTTGTATTAAAATTTAAAAGATTCAGTTGGGTTTTGCAGAGAAAATCCAAGATATATGAAACTGATATTGCTAAGGTTTTCTATTGTTTCCTGCATAAATCATTAATGAGTTGAATAAGATTTTTAAAGTGTATACACTTTGATACGCACAGCTACTTCATCTCCCTGTTTGACTGACAGCTCTTTAGAGTTCCTAGCAGTGAAATCATACTGGATGTAACTTCTCCTAAAGATAGCTTTGCTTGGAGCTGCACTGTAATGATTGCTGTCTTGTTTACTTGCAAGTCGTCTAAATTTGGCAGCAGCTGTCAACACTGTTGGACTTGTTGGTTCTGAATCATCTGTCTGTAGAAAGAAATCATTAATAAAATCACTGTTGTGCAATAAGTAAATGAATAAATAAAACAAACAAACATGAGTAATGAAATCTTGATTAATTAATAAAGTTATTTCTGACAAAACAAAGAAATGAAATTGTTTCCATACCCTCTTCTGTTGGTCATTCATCTGAGCAACAGCAGCAGCATTAGCAGCTACAGCGGCAGAGATATTAGCTGGTATATCTTTACTACCAACATATTCAGGAGGCACCCAGCCATCCTTAAACACTGGTGCATAAGGAGGGATAAACTGATCTTTGAAGTGCTTTGAGTGCCTATAATCATAACAACAAAATATTTAAGATGTTCACAGCTTTCTTAGTTTGACTGTAAGCCAGTGAAAAAATACAATAAACAGCTATAACTAAATTACTACAGTCACTGTCTTCATTGCTACATGCTGATCGAGGCCAATAGTTGAGAAGGGAAAATCTGGCAATAGACGATACTTTCAATCAAATAAATTGTCAGAGTGGTTAGTGTTACTTAAATAGTTTATATTTACTTAGTCTCTGTCCAGTTTGGGCCAAGAGCAGACCATAACTCCATTTCTTTAGATGATAAACAGTTTTGTAGTAGTTCAACAGCTTGTGTAGACAGTAAGGGGGATACAACAGATCTGGCTTTTTCAGGACTAGAAGAAAGGAAATAAATATATCTTGGTAAATATCTCTAGTTCTCAAAAATATAGCAAGGTGTTGGTGGACATGATCTTCAGACCTAGTAATCATGTTGTGATTACCCCATGCTGTGATACAAGTAAGACTTTAACTAACATACAAAGGCACCATGCTGGCTAGTCACTTAACAGCTATTACTGGTTAGCGTCAGATGTTATGGTTTACTTACCCATTGGTACATCTGACAAGAAGAGACAAAGGAACAAACAAATAATGAATCAATTCTGCTGCATTGGGATTGTGAATATGAGGTCGAAGTCTTCCCTAAAATACACAAGTCATAATACATTCAGTTTTTATTTTCTTGTAAAACAAACAAACTTTAATTTTATAAGTAGAATCTCTTACCAGGAGGTTGAATGCATACTTGAATTTCTGAAATGCATCTATAAAGTCACTCTCAGGGGGAGGTCTGGCTTCCATGGCAAGAAGATTATCTAGCATTCAAAACAAGGTTTAGGTTTCCAGGTACTGCTATAAGCTAAATAAGACAAAAATACCCACCTGGTTTTATCTTGCCTTTCTTTTTCTGTAGCTTTTTCCAGGCTTCAGCAGATTTCTTTGTCCTCCACACTAGATTTTCAATGTCATCAATGCAGTGATTGAGGATTTGCTAAAACCACATATTGTAAACTAAATTATATATTTGAATAAAGACCTTAGCAAGGAATTGATAGTATTATTGTTGAGTATAATAAAGTCAGAACTGAGTGATACTGACCACGTCCCTGTTGGTCCTTGCTTCAAGCACATCTAATGGCACAGATTCTTCAACGCCATCACCCTCTCCCTGGCTGAATTTGGGTGTTTTTCCTGGTCTGCTTAGATTTTCATTGGATTGTGCTGAGAATGCAGCAATAGTCTGTGCAACAAGTGACCTCTCATATAGATCCATGCGCTCTTTATCCTATGAATAAAAACAAATATTCTACAGTCTTATCTGAGATAATTATTACTACAATAATAATCTACAACATCTTAAAAGCATTTTATTTTACCAAGCTTTTTGACATGTCATCCATCATCAGAGCTGGGAAGTACAAAAACATTGTGCAAGATAGCTAAATTGTACATGCACAAGTCATTATTGCCCTGATGATGAGACACCTCCTAAAGTGTGACAAAAGGTCTACTAGTCAATTTGATTATTACCTATCACTACAATAATTGCAAAATTTAAAAACTTCTTATTTGAATGATTTTTTTACCAGAGAAGGTGGTTGAGGTGCGGCATATGATGGTGGAGGTGGTAGTGATGGACCATTTTTATTGGCCTGGAGTCTGCTAGGCATAGCCTACATGAAAATAATAAGTTAACTTTAGTAAAAACTGAATTTCTTACTGTCAAAATCCAAGGCAAGTAAATAAAACACTAGAATCACGACTCACTTGTTTGCTGCTTGCTGCTTTCATGATTTCTGTTGCAACAACTGCAGCCTACAGAGAATAGAAAGAAGCAATCATGACATTTAATTATAGAATATCAGAACCATTCGGCATTACATGCATAGCAAGATATCATGATGTTGATTAAGGTAGTGTGGGGAAAAATTAACAGAAGATAATAATAAGGAATTGGATTTTTCTTTTTTCTATTTGTGATTTACACTATATTATCTTGTATGGGGACATCAACTGAGAAAGTTATGAATACAATCATATATCGGTACATACAGGCACTCTGTCAGACTGGAAGAGATGTGTAGCAGCATACTTGTTTTCTGTCTGTTGTGTTGTAAACAGCAATACACTGTTTAAATCTAAATCATCACTAAGATGTTCAACGACGTTTATACTTGAGAGTGGATAAACCTCTATTACATCCTATGCAATGAAAAACAAAATATCATGACTGTTATTAAGCTAACACATATCAAAGATATCAATTAACAATGATTATAGCTTAATAGACAATGGTAATTGACCCATTCTCTAGGGAATGGTAGATCTAGCATTTGCAGATAAACCAGGGATTATAATTAAACAGTTTGCTTTATTCTTTTTTTAGGAAAAAACAGTGGTTTTATAATTATATTTACTGTTTGGACACACTAACCAAGACCACTTAAATTCACCATTATCACCACCACTATCACCACCACCACCACCACCACCACCTCCATCATCATTACCTGCGTTTCTCCATCTAACAACACAACATCATTGTCTGTCAGTCTCATCTCCATCTCTTTAGTCCACAAGTTTCCTTTGGCTAACAATTCCTATAACGATAATATAATTTCTATTAGAATTTCTTTAAAACCATTTGTTCATGAAATTCATCATCTACTTTACCTTAGTCTCAGAAAGTCGTTCTTTGGCTGATTTCTGAGCATCTTGGCTTGTTCTGATGGTGGAAGAGGCTAAGTGCTGGAAATTTTGAGATAGGTATTAATTATATTATTAAATAAAATGCTCATTTGAGTAAATTTGATAATCTATATTATGAAAAATAAGGTTATACTAATAAATTGTTGTCACACCTCAAGCAGAAAATTAGTCCTTGCTTTATATTGGCTTGCTGATTTAGCCATGTTTGACGCACCTGTGAAAGTAAAGAGCAAACAAAGGAAGGAGAATAATATTTGAAGGTGGCTAAATGTAATGCCTGTATAGTAAATGGAACATCTTGGGACAATATTAGTCTGATTGATTGTGCAGTCCTTATTATGTAGGCAATGGAACATCTTGGGACAATATTAGTCTGATTGATTGTGTAGTCCTTATTATGTAGG